AATGTAATACCAGTGTGAAAAGAGCAAATTTGCTTAAGTTTGTGCGCCTTGCGACGCACTGAGCGCGCCCCAAACTGCAGGCTGGCAATAGCTATCGTTCATAAAGTCCGCCACCCATTAACCACGACATCGTAATTGTAGGCCTCCAAAATTATCTTTCAGAGTGGCAACTTGTATCTGATGATAGCATAGTGAGGCCGCGGGAAGCGACGAGAAATGACCTTCTTGTTGCTCATACTAAACTGTAAGTAAGGTTTTTCAACAAAGAATGTGATATTGGTAATGCTGTCAGTATTATTGGTATCAGGTGTAATCATCGCACACTGAGTATTTGCTTAGCTAGCATTTCTAAGTATTTACTCAGTCTAAGGTTTCCATGCACTGTGCAGAAATGTTCGTGAACGTCAGACGAACACAAGAAGTAACTGTGAAGAAAGCAAGAGATAGGGGTGTCACATTGTTGAGGACCCTGAATTTGTAGATGAGCTACACTAACAGTTACTTGAGCTCCGTGAACTTGAGCGTAAACAATAGCATTCTGATGAATTTCTGTCATTTTGCTTGAAAAAAAAATGATTTACGTTCCCTAGTAGTGTCTCACTTGAAGGAATGGTAGAGTGGTGGTCTAAAAACTCTCGAGAGATTGCGAATTTCGGCTTTCTTTCCAACTCCTTTTCAATAAAGGTAACGCGGGAGCGCTTTATATCTTTCTATTATCTAGCTTTGTAAAAGGATTGAATTAAAATCATCTGATGGTTACAATCAGCTCAAACTACTGTCTCTGGAGACTTTTATTCTTTGGTTGGATATAACGCGGTACAGTACTTTATCGCATGTTCATATATGGCATATCTGCAACCTTTTTTAAAAGTTATTGGGACTTATCTACAGAAAAGCTGAAATAATCATCCAACGATGACTCACACGGTTAGAATTAGTAAAGAAGGGGGACGTAGGCTTAATGGTACTTCAATTCCATTCTCACTGAAAGTCTCAAAAATCTACAAATTTTCTTAGAAAATGTCTTCCGGAAGATGTAGGTTAATGGAGTTGGAATTTATTTCGTAAGGTGAAAGCGCTAACAAGTTTAATGACTAGCTGAGATTATCACAAGTGAGCGTGTTAGAGAAAGTTGGTAATCAATGCAGCAAAAGTTACGGATCGCTCCTGACTAATTGAGTCGGAATCTCACCCTTGAATACACTTCTTTCTTTTAAAGTGATTTTGTTTTTTATACATTTTTCCAGGTACTTGGCAAGCCTTTACTCTCCATGTGTTCTAGCAAAAGTGGTTGAAGTTCCTATTGCATGCTTTATCCCTACATGTATCACGGACAAGTATTTTTTGAGACGAATGAGGTTAGTCATAACTATGCCTTTGATTTTTCTCATGGCAGTTAAGAACGAGAGATGCAGTTTTCTGAAGTTTTTTCTTCTCACCTGTGAGTTTATGTTTAGGTACCAGTGTGGTGGTACTGTAGTAGCTTGCCAGATAGCACTCGAACGTGGATGGGCTGTACATCTAGGGGGAGGATTTCATCATGCCCATAGTATGTTTTGCAGTTTTGCAGCCGTATCTTGTCAAAAATCGCTACTTTTCAGGAACTTTCGGAGGTGGATTTTGTGTATATGCTGACATCTCACTTGCTTTGAAAATGCTATTTTCACTGAAACTCATAGAAAAAGCTTTAATCGTGGACGTGGATGCCCATCAGGTACACCAGTTTCTTCATTGAAAGAAATCTGATAAGCGAAGACTTCAAAATGAAGTTGGTTTTGAGGCAGTGAGAGTAGATTACTGGATATGTGCTTCTTGAGATGTGTTTATGAGGATATTTTTTTGAATCAGAAGTGTTTGTCAGAAATATCAGAGTGCCAACAAAACCTCAGCAATTGCGTATTTACAAATTCTCTACCTTCTCTTTT